GAGAGAGAGAGAGAGAGAGAAACATGGAAGCAGACATGTGCCTGTCTCTAGTAGTCAAAGGTAGTTGATATATCTAGGTTGGGTATTGGGTTACACCTCTGATTGTGTGGGCATCTTTTTATTGAGCATTACCAAATATATAAAGCCTTTGGATAATCTAAGAATTAGAATCTCATTCCTACCGGGCCCGAGTGGATGGAGGGATGGTTTGAGCACTGCCCAGCTTTGTAGAGACACTGGCATCTCATGGGTAGCAGGGCTGGTGTTTCTGGCTGGCCATTTCTAGCTGTAGCACCCACGTGCAGAACATGGCACCTGAGCTAGGCAGAGCCACCGCAGCTTAGATGGTCACAGCTTAGATAGTCGGCTTGACCAGCAGCCATTTTTAAATATCTCCCACTACACTTATATACTGGGATACCCACTCTGATGAGTGTTACTGAATCCTTAGTTGTTTGTTTAGGTCTGTGATAAGGAACTTGCACCTGAATGTGGATTAATATGTTACCAATTATATTGCTTGGTTTGACTCATAATTTATTCAAAACAAGATAGGTGTCCTCAGTAAAGGAATTCATGTTGGCTTATACTATGGTGCAATTTATGGAGGCCATTGCACAATGGACACCTGAGGAGAACTGAACTAGCCTCCTAGCTCTGCAGATGAGATACCTGCTGGAAGTGGTACAGAAGACTCCCATGTTTCTCATTTTGTATGAATGTAATTTGTTTCAAAGTGGCTGTTGTCTGTTTCCATTACTAACCTAGGAGGTTAGGAAGGAGCTAGGGAGAAAGAATTCATGAGAGGAATATACATCCCTAGAAATGTTATTAATTGGTTGAGTAAGACAAAATAGGGAAATAAAATATCTGCTCTTTACAAAGTAACGGCATCTTCCTCCCTTAGCTCATTAAAAATTAAAAGCACTCTTGGCTTAAGTAGGGCAAATTAGTAATTAAGTGCTACATAATCAACCTGGATAAACATAATGTTGAAGGGGAAGCCAAATTAATCACCTCACTGGTTTGTTTTTGGCCCATTAATGTACCTTTCCCCCATGTCCTTCCTGTGGTGCCAGGATGCTTGTTCTGTTCCTTTACAGCTGGAAGAAGAGTGGGTTGTGACAGCTGGGCTGACAAATGATAGAGAAGCAGATCTGAAGAAGTTGTGCGTGTATATGGTCCTGTATTCAGAGAACACACTCAGGACCTATGCTGCAGCCTTTAAAGTACCATCCTTTGAAGAGCTGACATGTGACAGGAAAAGCCTAGATGGTAGGAGAATGAATGAGGGGGAACATACACAGTGCACAACACTGCCCAGGCTACTGACAGAAGGGAGGAGAGAACACAGACACAGTATGGGAAAGCTGTAATCGAAGTAACAGTGAAGATGATTTGCTTGCTTCAAACCTTGACTCTGCCTTACTGTAGGTGAGTTACTTAATTCTTCATTTTTTGCACATGTGTGCACACACACATACACTCATACACACATACACTCATACACACACACACATACATGCACGTACACACACACACATGCACAGCATCAAAACACTTACCATAGGGGGTGGACAAGTTCACACATATAAAGCAAAACAACTTTAATTGTTCATTCTCTGTTTAAATTATAATAATTAGACAGTGAGATAATAGATCGTCAGAAAAGCATCCTTACTGTCTTGAGGGCAAGAAAGCCCTCCCAGTAAGAAGCCATTTCAACCCTATATTTAGGGAAATTTGTGCCCTGGGCCTCTGCACTCAAAGAAGAACCTTGAGTAGGATGCCAGCTCTCTGCAGAGACAAAAAGAGGCTTCACTGGACAAATCACTCTCTGTTTTGTGCAGCATAATAAATAAACTTTAGTAACAACTGCTAGAGACCCAGTCATATGGCATTGTGGCAACTTCTGCCACATGTGGGGAAGATGGGAGGAGGCAGAACTAGGTACATTGTGTCAGGCTAAGAAGAAATTAAGGAACACACAGAGAGAGAAAGTTGTCCTTAAACCATGTTGTTCCATTCTGGGTGATGGCCTATCTATGGCTTGCTGACTGGGTGAGCAGACTTGGTGAGACACATTACGAATGTCATTGAGCCTCAGTTTCTTCTTAACAAACCTTACTGAGTTGCTGGAAGTCTGAGAACATAAGCCATTGTGCATACTGCCTGTTACTAGGAAAAATACTAATATTATTATGCTTTGCATTAATTAAACACTCAGGACAAACTCGTCCAGATAGATCATATATTATTCTATTTTATAGAAGGAAATTAAAGCACAAGATGTTTGAAACTTAGTAGTAGAATGAGGGTTTAAACTCAGATGGGCTGGCTTCAGACACACTAATACATCCCTCGTGCTCCGTACTGTAGAAGAGCCTATACATAGATGGTTGTGCTAGGTGTTGGAAATATAGCAGATGTCCTGCGGGCTCTTCAGTCAGTAGTAAGGAAGACACTATTTACTCTCAGTGTTGGAAAGAATGGCAGGGCTGAGCCTACAGCTGTGGTAAAAGTAAAACTTAACAGGTGGGGTGGGTGAGCAGGCAACGTAGCTAATCATACGTCACTACCTCCTATGTGGCCGCAGTACAGCCTCTTACACTGATCTTAGTGGTTTTGCTTAGAGAACAAACAAGTTGTTTATTTGTAGGTCACTCGTATCCATATGGCATTTAAGGATGATTATAATGAGTAAACATGCTACTAGAATAAAAGTCCCAGTCAGAAACTGTCTACAAAGAAGATACACCAAGTACTTACATCCTCATACTCAAAGCCTTCAGGTACCAGGCAGGCTGTGTAAACATGGGGAGAGCCTAGCTAGAGAAAAGTACTAGAGAAGTAATTCTGACAGACATTGAAACTCCAGCCATGGCCTGGTGAGAGCCCCAGGGAACATCTATGGGATCTGGCAGTTTGTCTCTGCCTGGACTAAGGGGATTAGTTTGATGGAACATCACACAGTGAATGCAGAACCGGGAAGCATTTCAGGTCGTGTGGTGTTTCATCATGGTATTATGGACCCATGCCACTTCTTTTAGGATATGACATTTTTCCTGGTACCAATTTTTTTTAAATTACCATTTCTTTACAAACTAACTTAGAAATCAATTTCTTCATGGGTGTTTTTATAAAAACAGAATTTCTTTTATCTCACCTGGTTGAATGCTCAGCATGGTAACAGAAACTTGGGTTCAAGACTTTGTGGAGTTTCCAGGGGTGTCACTGGGCCTACAGTTTGGGAGATGAATAGCGTGCTACTTTGGCTGGTCTCTCCCTCAGCCAGTTTTCTAGCAGAGCCTCATTACTGGCTGAGGAGTGTAGGACCTAAGTACTAAATCTCTTTCCCAGTCTGGCCTGAGAGGAGTGCTAACGTGAAGCACCACATCAATCAAGAAGGGGAGCAGATGCTGAAGTGTATCAAATATCAGTAAACAAGCCCCACAGGAAGGCCACTGAACTTGACATCCTACAATCGAAAATACACTACAGCCTTCATGTCAGATTGCTGTGAAGTTTCATAAACCAAAGTAAGTGATATGTGTGTTTTTTCCCCTAGCTGGACAGCTGCTACTGTTCCATGAAACACTTTCATTTGGAGATGATATGTTATATGTTCTAAGTGTTTTGAATCTGTACTTTTAAAGACTATATTTAGTGCTCGAAGTATTAGTGGTTGCCAGCCCGGAGTTACAGCTTATCAAGTATCTCCACAGTAATTGTGAGGAATTTTTTATTTCTCCCATCTACTATCCCCTCTTTTTTACTTTACACAGTATAATTCACACAATAAATAGCACCGTAAATAAAGAGCACAGATTCTGATATCACACGAAGCTAAGCTCAAGTCTCGAGTTCAGATTTCATAACTACGTATTGGGTAAATCCCCTTGCCTTTCTAAACCTGTTTCCTCACTTCAAAAACTAAGATCCTGGAGTATATACCTCATGTGCTTGTTGAGGAGATTAAGTGAGATGATATGTTCAAAATATTTGGCACAGTCACTGGCGTGAGTCATCCCTCAATGAAGAGGACAAATTGATGCAGCGTGTAGGTTGGTAACTGTTAGCTGACTGTGTTCAGTGTTAGTGCTTTACGTGTAGGGTAGGTTCTGTTAGTGATGCTTGAGATCAAACCTAGGGCCTTGTGCCAGGCAAGTGCTGGGCCACCAAGTTACTCCTGTAGCCTGGCCCTCGGCCAGTCTGCACTCAAGTGTACTTACCCAGCACTGCTCTGCTTACTCCGTATTACATATCACAGGCTCCTTTGCCCCTGGCCTGGCTGATAGGAGAAAAGCAAATTACTTACTCAAGTTCAAACTTTGTACCCAAGCTGGAATGTTTCTGTCCCCAATTCCATGTTCTTTCTACTGAAGAAATGCAAGCATTAGAGCATGCCAAGTAGAATTTAGGTTAAATGGAAAAGAAAGAAATCCCAGCTAGGTTCCTACCATCAAGAATCTAACATTGGATGAGATTTAAAAGCAATAGCAGAAACCAGAGTGTACCGTTACGTGACTGGCTGACCTGCCAGCCGTGGACACGAGTAAGAAGCATGGCTTCCACGCTGAGTGGGCCTTAGAGCGTAGATGGAAATGTTCATTTCAGACCAGGCAGCAGAGCAGTGTGACAGAGATTTGTAGAGGTGCCAGTGAGAGTGAAAGAATATACTCAGTCAGATGAGTTTCGTCTGGGGAAGGATTCCAAGTCTGCAGTACTGGAGAGAACACTGGGTCTGTAAGGAGCACAGCCGACTGGCACTGGGTCTGGTAGAGCAGCCTCCTGTTTAAGTAAGTGAACAAAAAGTTGCAAACTGATTATCCTGCCCCCCCCCCAATTACAAGGTGAAGGATAAATTAATTCAGCCTATGAATAAAAGCAACAACCAAATTTCTTGAGCTTGTGAGAGCCCCTGCAGTAGAAAGGGTGTGCCTTATCTCAGAGTTCCCAGAAAATTATGCTAGAACTTTGTTTCTCTAGAGCACATCTATGGACAAGGTACTGTACTGCAAAACATCACACATTTAAGATTTCAGCCCGGAGAAGGAACTTGCTGAGATGCCAGTGAAGGAGAGAGGTACACAGCCTACCTTAGCTCAGTGCAGAGCCCACCTCATGTCCTCTAGGCTTCTTCATGTTTGACTAGCAAACATTTTTGTCTAGAGGAGCCTGTGTTTAGAACAGAGCTGAAGGGGTTGCAGTTCTTCCCACTGTAGCCAGGCCAGTCTCACCTACTGCCATCTGCTGGAGTCGGACCTTGACAAGCCAGTGAGATAACTGCAGATGCAGGAGGAGAAATTTACACGCTGTCCTGAACTGGACATTTAAGCGTGTGCTTCACCTCCTAGGACTCACTATAGCAGACTGGAGAGATGGGACTCTGTTTTCCAGGGCATCCTAAAACTGATGGCAGAAGGGATTCATCCTGTATGTGCAGCTGATAATTACAGTCCTGATTACTGACTGATTACTATCTGCAGAGCCATCCCCTGAAGGCCCAGTATTAATGGCACTTTGCCAACAATGGTGACCTGTAAACAATCGTTTCTCTAGGTCACAGGCAGTAAGAGGTAAAGCTCAGATAAAAATGCAGATGCCCACACTAGGCTAGGCTCACCATGAAGTGCTGAAACCCTCTTCTATAAATTTTCTCTGGGAACACTGAGCATGCGCTGACCTCACTGAACTAACTGAGCTTCCAAAATAAACTTCCAACTTTAATCAATCCTGTCCATTCTTTAGAACTGGATAAGCATGTAATGAGCCAAAGTGGAGGTGAAACTCCACAGGCAGAGCCTGGAGCTGGCTGAGAAGGGAAGTGCTTATTATAGATCACCAACCACTTAGAGAGCATCCATACTGCAGATGGACTTGGCCTTCTCTCCAGTCCACACCAACACCAGCTCTACACTCTCCTTATGAGACTCACTCTGATCTGTAGTGTATGCCAATCACTGAGTGACTCCGCTTTAGGTCCTCCTCTTTGGGCCTTCATCTCTGCATCTTTACACTGTAAGGATTAGATTTCAGGTTTTTCATGTGTTAAGCAATGGAACCTCCGCAAAGCCAACATATAAGAGAATGTACCATGCATCTTCCACTTACCCATCATTTTTCCTCAGTGTAGACTACCCTGGAAGATCCCTGCTGAACATGAGGGCTGAGCCACTCATGGAAATAATGAATGAATTTTGACAGGAAATAATGAATGAATTTTAGATAGCTAAAAATACATGATAAAATGATGACAATGTAGCCTGGCTTTTAAGAAAGGTAGACTGGAGAGCTATCACCATGGGGATGTGTACCTTCACAGCTGACAAACTATCTCTCTGGTAGGGAGGTGCTCTGGTCTATCCCAACAGTATCTGGTGACTTGTTACAAACAGACTCTCTGTCAGCCCTTGCAGGTAGAATTCTTCCCAGGATGCTTTTAGAGATCGGCCTTTTATCTAGGACTCTGATTCTGGCTTCACCACCAAAGGAGTCATCCTCTTCTGGGAAGAGCCAGGGAACTGGTCCTCCCTGCCTTAACCCTCACCCTTTGCTGATAGTTTGGAAGGAGGTTGTTTCAACTCTATCTGTGGCATTAACATTGTCAGTTTAATTCCTTCTTAGCACTTAAAGCTTTGAGATATCAGTACCCAACCCTGTGCTGGAACATCATTTAAGGTTTAATTCCTTCAATGCCATTAGACTGATAGAGTCAGATGCCCATTTCCTTCATTTTTGTCCTTGATAAAGACCCTTTATGTAAATGCCCCAAGAGTAAGAATTTTCCTTGAGTCATTTCCATATCTCTAGTGTCTAACACAGCCAGACACAGACATGCTACTTGGGAAATTTTTTCATTCATTAAGCAAATAGCTCTAGGTATTTAGACAAGTAAAATCCTTATCACATCTACAATGGAGTTGGCAAGATCGTGAAACAATAAATGGAAATGCATATTATAGCTTGGGTCAAGAGCTAAAAAGGTAAAGAACAGGTTTGATGGAAGAACTAATTAGCATGATTGACAGCTGAATGACTATAAGTGACTGTGACTCCTAACTCTGAACCTGTCTCATTTCATCTCTGAAAACAGTAATCATTGCTATTATGTTCATTGTTACAACTGCTACTCCTGTTTCTTATGTATACATTGCATTCTAAATTTTATGCTAGCATTTTCATATTGATTATATAAATTTCATGAATTAACCTTGCTTGTTAGGCCTCCTTATTTCAAGTAAGACAAACAAGGCCCAGGAACATACTTCATATGTTGAGATAGCTAGTGTCATAGATGATGCTTGAACCAAAGCTGACCAGACAGCTTCTGTTCTGAGAAAATGGAATGTCTCCTAAACTCCTAAGTAACCACTGCCGGTCCAACCTGGATCCCAGTTTGAGAAGCCCTCAATCATATTATTTGGCAAAAGCCCCATTCCATTAGGCTAAAGGGCAAAACGAAAACAACCACAACCAAAGCCAAGTTGCTGGAGAGTATGTAGGAAAAAAAGGAAAATAATTTTGCCTAGGCCCTCTAATGGTCACCTTCCGGCAGTAGTAAGCCATCACCATGGCAATAAGAGAAAATTAATGTTGGATGTTTAGTCACTTTAAAAAGCCACATCAACAGAATACCAAGCTGATGCTGTAAACCTCTCTGCTACAGCTGCTCTGACAATGCTAGAGGCATGTTGGAGAGATCCATGTTGGAGGGTGGGACAGACTTGAGCTTAGCATTGGAAGATTTAAGTCTGAGCCTTAACTGTGCCCTCATGTCTTGAGCAAGTCAGCTGACAAACATGAGAGGCAATCATATTAAGTCAGTATTAATATAGTAGCTTTCTGGAAGTCCGTTCAAAACTCTGTAAAATAGAGGAGTGATAAAGAGGGATATGAAAGTGCTTAGTAAACCATAATGTCATTAACATTATCCAGCCAGGTTTGGAAGAACTCAGGCTGGAGTCAGGTAGACAGAGCTACTTTCTGCACTTTGTCTTAGTAAAAAGGCCAAGCCTCAGATACCCAGGGCCTCAGCTTCCCAGCAACACTTCCCATTATAAATCTGCAAAATGCCCTGCCTGATTTATGCAGTTTCATCCTCTCTGCACTTCAGTTTACCCCATGGAAAATGGAGATGACACCAATGCTCTCTTAGTAAGGTAGGAGGTGTGGCTTAAGTGAGCCCTGGAAGAGCACAGAAAGGCTGGCTGCCTGGCAGGCTGCCTAAATGTTAACAGCAGGGATGGCAGAGAAGAGGAAGGAGCAGGAAGAACATTTGAAATGACATATGTGTGTCAAACTCAACACCTCCATGGGGCACTGATGGTGGTACTCACAGTCACCAGATGCTCTGGTGCCTTTTAGAGTGCTCTCAGATCAGTCACATGCCCCTTTCTGTCCTCAGAGGTGTCATGCCTTCAGTGGCTTTTTGTCAGGCCAGGGTTGTAGGCCTGCCCTTCTTTCTATGCTGTTTTAGGTGAGAAGGGAGAACCAGACCAAAGAATTGATAGAAACAAGAGGAAACTACTAATAAAAC